TTTATGTTTTACCTATGCTGTAAGCGTGATGGAGTTGCTTTTTCCTAGTGGATGGTGTCGGCTGCATTAACGGAAAGATGAAGAGCTGAGTGAAACGGCACGTGGTGGTTACACAGACACGCCCTTGACAGGCTGCTACACAAATGGATGATGATGATGATTGCCTTTTGTGAAGGTACGTAAGTAAAACAGCATGCAACCATGAAGGTGTGTCAAGGTATGTATCACATTTGCATGTAGGAGAAGGTCGAGCTGCATAAACCAATTTGTATATGTAAAAAGATACGTATACATATTGAATGTGTCACTCATCCCGAAACTCAATGGAGGGATCTCTTCACTTTTTCTCTTCTCAAGCTCATCCCACTTCCCACTCCTCCTTATTGTATCACAAAAGCCATGTACTTCTTGCATCACCGATAACCGGACCACCTTTAATATTCCTTCTTCAAAGCAATAGTATGTAATCCACAAGCTAGCAACCTCCAACAAGCGTGTAATAAATAAACAATGCTTTATTTCATCTAGCTATCTTGCTATGTACTGTACATTGCCACCACCATCGTCGTAGTCGTCCTCCGTCATCATTCCTACTCGTACTCGTCACCAGTCGTCAATCTCATCCGTCACACCAACATCCAAAAATACACAAGTTGAAAAGAATGGGATCTTGCAGGCTTCCTTTGGATCTCGTTGTCGTCATCATTGTCATTGTTGTGAATGTCGTTATCATCGTAATCGCCATTGTTGTGTATGTGGTAATCGTCGTAATCGTCGTCTCTACAAATAAGAAAGCAGGCAAGTTAGACCATCTGGTACCGGGAATGATGACGATTTGGTATACCGTTAGGGGATCCTCTCTAAGGAAGAAAGCAAATCAGAAGGGATTCACAAACCAAATCACCACCATACGAGCAACGTCGGGCGATCCCTTGTTCTTGAGAAGGCACTGCACGAATCACGCAAGGCCAGTTCGATCCATGGCAAGGAAGGACATCACTTACGTAGAGTCTAGGCTCATAGTTGTTCTCATTCATCCTCCCCAAAGAAAGAATGATCCCCAATCCTTACAATCATTTCCCACCTCATGAAAAGAAATCCTCAAGGGAAAGAACGAGCCTGTCACGAGAAGAGCGTGTTGGTTAAACACATTCACAAGCTGCTGCAAATCCCCTTTTACCTCAACACGGTGACCATGCTCTTCCAAAAATCCATCGTCGTCGACCCATCAACTCAAACGCAGGCCTATAGAGCCCTGGACGCGTTCCAAGAAGCTTTTCCAGCACGCTTGGCTAGTGCAGAGCGACACAGCGGCCACTTGATACAGGCTGGGACTTGAACCCAAAGAGATGATCATGATGCCCCAAGTTGCATTGCCTGACCAAAGAAACCTATTCAATTCATTATTAGCACACAGGTACAATAAAACGCCCCTTTTCATTGTTTGCTTCATTGTACTTGCCTTTTCCATATACACAAAGGCCCGTTGTTGTTGGTTACTGGAAACCGAAAACCATGGTGTAGTATAGTCGAGCTGAGACAAAACGCCAAACCAGCCAACGTCTTGAAACCAAACTTGCCCTCTATACAAGCTGACGCATCAATGGAACCAATTCGGCTGCAACATTGGACTCTGAATGTACCTGTTGACACCAAGCGTAGAGCGGGAATAGCAACGATATCGCCATGGCAACCACCAACCACCAACCACGCTCATTCCTCAGCACTTGGACACACTCACTCCCTGACAATGCATGTTTATAACTACATTAACACCTCACAGCCAACAAGAGCACTTTTTTATAATACATTGCCTTGATCGAGATGTCGTGAATGGAATAAGGAAAGGTGGGAGAAAAAGAAGAGAAGCGCTGTCTCAAGTCGTGGAGCTGCTGTCCCTCAAGTTTAAATCCCCCTACCTCTATTACACTGAGGCCACTCAATGACCCCACATACACCATCCACCCAAACACACAACTCACCCATCATTATCATCACCCTCACGATAGGCAATAGGTACATGTAAATAAAGAAATGATTCTCACGTATAGCAAAAGGGTGTGTGCCATTATACACTTTACATGATAATGATGATCAAACAGCAGCCATTGCCTTACTACCAGGTTAGCTCAAATCAAGGAAGTTGAAGGATGGAAATGCTGGGCTGGAGCAGGACAATCGTTCACATGTATTGTTTTGGGCAACAAACGTGAATGGGAGGAATGGGCTATCAAGTGGCAGTTTACATATAATTTTGCAAAATGATTTTTGTGAAATTGGATGATGTTTTGTGTTTGAGCGTAACTCAACCAAATCCCCACCGATCAAGAAAGTTTAATGATGGAAGTGAATGTCTGGAGCAGGAGCATTACTCATATATCGTAGAATAAACAATAGTGTTGATTGTGAGGAAAAGGCTGTTAGATCGCAATTTATGGACTACCTATACCATAGCAACGAGCATTTTGAAATGAGACAACGAGATAACTAGAGGAACAACGTGACACCAAACGATCTTCGGGGAGTCAAAAGTGGACCTACTCGTGTCCTCGGGAATAAAATGTAGCCGTGCACAGACCACATACCCTTGTTTCAGCTCCTGGATGATGCGCGTACCCAAAAGTTATATAGCTACAATGCCTTTATCGTTCGCTGCTATCCACGGTAGCGACTATCACGTGCTGTATAAATGGCTGGGCTGTAAAAAGTGTGACTGTATTTACACGCGTCTCATAACAGCAGCGTTGCGCAGCCATGGCAACGGTTGATCTCAACCAAAACCAACCTGGTTTCCCTTGATCAAGACCGTTCAAGGCCATTGTCAATGTTGACCACTTGTAGGAGCTGTGAACAGGTAAGTTATAGTGGAAGATCGTTACAACTACGTTGTTTCACTTGGTTGCATTGGATGGCAATAGTGTGCTCTTTATTGGGGACCTGTTTACTTTGGCATCTCAAGAGGTATGTTGCGCTTGTTCTATTATGGCAATCTCTCACTCATTGTCTACTTTAGACCACAATACCATCGACTGGGAAAAGTTGGCTATGGGGAATGCATGTTATTGAATCTTCCACCTTTTGGCTCGTATTGTTCCAAGGACACTCCCTCGCCCCAGTATCGTTCTGGTATTCCCCCAGCGGCAAGATGCACGTATGGCTATGGCTTCACGCAGTAGGTGCGGCGCATATGATCGCAAGTGGTCTTTTGGCCTATTCGAGATCGTCAACAAGCTTGGTCCAACTGGGAAGCGTGAGACTGGATCATCGAAGGGGAAACGGATTCGTGTCGGTTCAATCGGGTCATAGGGTGGGGCCCATAAGGACAATCAATGTGTATCTTCTCCTGGCCAAACAAGCGATTTTCCTCAGCTTGTCAAAGGAAGTTATCCTTGTGGTTCTCTTGCACCCAGAGCTCTCTCACGTTAT